CAGAGTTGGGTATAACGCATTACAAAGTAACGCATTAGAGTACTTTGATTACTTTTTGCAGTAATGTGTAACCTAGCGAGTTAGTTTGCTGTTTGAGCAATCAAATACTTGAGTACATTTTCTACAAGCCATCAGTTACTTCTGTTACTTTTAGAACGCTGGTCCTTCAACTCTGAAACAGCAACGACTGTCTTTTGGTTCTAATAACGGAGATAACGTTAAACCTATCAGTCTAAAAGAAGCCACGGAGCTTGTGGCTCGCTACGTGGTCTGTTCATGTGTCAGCCCACATGTTGTTGTAGCCGCCTAAAAGTGTCAGCAGATGGCAGGAGCTTCATTTGAAGCACCATATGTAAACATTCAAGCTACTGTATCTTCCACAACCAAGTTCCTACAAATGTTTCACAATAAAAGCCTATTTAGAAAATGGAGGGATTCTCTCCATAGCCATATATACGTAGACACCGCATCGAGTGGGTTTGCCCGCTGCTGCGATACATCAACGTTGCCGCCATATTGGATGTGGCAAGGCTGTGCTGTAAACTAATACAAGTGAATGGACTTAATTTCATAAAGTGCCTTTCTACAAAGAAATTTACGTTAATGCCTCTAGTTTATTCATTCACACACACACTAATATACTTGGGAAACAGTTAGGCACCAAAAACAATGTATTTGATCTTCTCAGATGGCTAAGATAAGAACTTTATTGATCCCACACAGGAGTAATTCACCTTACATCAGCTATAGAGAACAAGGTAGTGCCGAAAAACAATACACAGTATATACTGTGTATTTTTTCGTGTGTGTATATATATATATACAGTACAGGCCAAAAGTTTGGACACACCTTCTCATTCAATGCGTTTTCTTTATTTTCATGACTATTTACATTGTAGATTCTCACTGAAGGCATCAAAACTATGAATGAACACATGGGGAGATATGTATTAAAAAAAAAGGTGAAATAACTGAAAACATGTTTTATATTCTAGTTTCTTCAAAATAGCCACCCTTTGCTCTGATTACTGCTTTGCACACTCTTGGCATTCTCTCCATGAGCTTCAAGAGGTAGTCACCTGAAATGGTTTTCCAACAGTCTTGAAGGAGTTCCCAGAGGTGTTTAGCACTTGTTGGCCCCTTTGCCTTCACTCTGCGGTCCAGCTCACCCCAAACCATCTCGATTGGGTTCAGGTCCGGTGACTGTGGAGGCCAGGTCATCTGCCGCAGCACTCCATCACTCTCCTTCTTGGTCAAATAGCCCTTACACAGCCTGGAGGTGTGTTTGGGGTCATTGTCCTGTTGAAAAATAAATGATGGTCCAACTAAACGCAAACCGGATGGGATGGCATGTCGCTGCAGGATGCTGTGGTAGCCATGCTGGTTCAGTGTGCCTTCAATTTTGAATAAAACCCCAACAGTGTCACCAGCAAAACACCCCCACACCATCACACCTCCTCCTCCATGCTTCACAGTGGGAACCAGGCATGTGGAATCCATCCGTTCACCTTTTCTGCGTCTCACAAAGACACGGCGGTTGGAACCAAAGATCTCAAATTTGGACTCATCAGACCAAAGCACAGATTTCCACTGGTCTAATGTCCATTCCTTGTGTTTCTTGGCCCAAACAAATCTCTTCTGCTTGTTGCCTCTCCTTAGCAGTGGTTTCCTAGCAGCTATTTGACCATGAAGGCCTGATTGGCGCAGTCTCCTCTTAACAGTTGTTCTAGAGATGGGTCTGCTGCTAGAACTCTGTGTGGCATTCATCTGGTCTCTGATCTGAGCTGCTGTTAACTTGCGATTTCTGAGGCTGGTGACTCGGATGAACTTATCCTCTGAAGCAGAGGTGACTCTTGGTCTTCCTTTCCTGGGTCGGTCCTCATGTGTGCCAGTTTCGTTGTAGCGCTTGATGGTTTTTGCGACTCCACTTGGGGACACATTTAAAGTTTTTGCAATTTTCCGGACTGACTGACCTTCATTTCTTAAAGTAATGATGGCCACTCGTTTTTCTTTAGTTAGCTGATTGGTTCTTGCCATAATATGAATTTTAACAGTTGTCCAATAGGGCTGTCGGCTGTGTATTAACCTGACTTCTGCACAACACAACTGATGGTCCCAACCCCATTGATAAAGCAAGAAATTCCACTAATTAACCCTGATAAGGCACACCTGTGAAGTGGAAACCATTTCAGGTGACTACCTCTTGAAGCCAAGAGAGAGAATGCCAAGAGTGTGCAAAGCAGTAATCAGAGCAAAGGGTGGCTATTTTGAAGAAACTAGAATATAAAACATGTTTTCAGTTATTTCACCTTTTTTTGTTAAGTACATAACTCCACATGTGTTCATTCATAGTTTTGATGCCTTCAGTGAGAATCTACAATGTAAATAGTCATGAAAATAAAGAAAACGCATTGAATGAGGTGTGTCCAAACTTTTGGCCTGTACTGTATATATATATATAACGAGAGGCATTAACGTAAATTTCTTTGAAGAAAGGCGCTTTATGAAATTAAGTCCATTCACTTCTATTAGTTTACAGCGCAGCCTTGCCACATCCAATATGCGCTCAGCGCTCGATGCGGCGTCTATGTATATATGATTCTCTCAGCCGAGGTTATAAGGGGCTTTTAATTTGAAGGAAAATCAGGAAGTGTTGAGTTTTAAATGACGACGCAATGTGTTAACTTTACAAAGACAACGGAGCAGATAAAAAGTAAATGTATAAACACACAGAGGGATTAATAAATAACGGACCGTCTATAATGTAGTTTGTTTCAAATGAAGCTGGGAGCCTCTGCAGTTGTGGTGAGTAAAAGCCCCGCTGCTATTTGTTAATGTTATTACTTTATGTAGGCTGACCAAACGTCCTCTTTTGCCAGGACATGTCCACTTTTCACGTCCGGGGCGTCCCAGGGTTTTTATAAACTGATGATAATGTCCGGTTTTCCGTGTGTTTGTGTGTGTGTTAGAGCGTGGCATGGGCCGCATATTTCTGTCCGAACCCGAACCGAGCTCGACATTATTTAATGACCAAAGCACTGAGTTTGTGTCACACAGTTGTTATGGTTACAGGCTATTTAACAGGCCGGGCGTGCGCCTTGGGTGCTCAGCTGTGGAGAAGGAGACCTCTGTGTTTGAGACGGGAGCGGGAGGCGGGAGGTCCAAGGCTTCTAGCGAGAGGAGAAGGAGAAATAAAACAAAATAAGATAAAATAGGAAAAACCTGTCTCCCTCTTTTATTTTATTTTCAGCGTTTAATCAAGGTGGAGGCGGGCGGCTGGAGGTCTGAGACTTCCAGAGAGGGGAGAGGTAGAAACAAACAACCAATGTGTCTGTGTGTGTTATGTTCAGGTGTTGTCACGTAAATAACAGTGCCCAAGCAATAAACAGGACAGACAATAGGATTTTATTTATTTTTACACTATATTTTCACTGAAAGCTGACCGAATCTGACCCGAGCCCGAATACAGTTTATAGCTACATATTTGACCAAACCTGGCCCAACCTGTCGGGTACCATCGGGCTCGGATCGCCACACTCTAGTGTGTGTATGTGTCTCCTATTGGGGCCTATCTGAATTTCTGTCTTTGAGAGATATTATTTTGTAATATAACTGAATTTTCTATCGATACATATAAATTTTAAATATAATCAAATTATAAGGCATCTTTGAGTAAACTGCGAGTATCATATAAGTAGGCTATGTCGTGGCCGGCTGAGTGTCCTCTTTTTTGGAAATCAAAATACGGTCACCCTAACTTTATGTCCGACCGTGAGGATGTACCATGTTTTGCTAGCTTGATACTAATTACAGTAACGTTAACTCAGCGGGTTGACAAAGTGCCTCTGTTGTTTCACACCGTCATTTCCCCCTTTTACTCTGTGTGGTAACATCCCTAGAGGAAACATTAAAAATGCTGGGGTGTTGTTGTCATACAGTTGTGTACGGCAGCAGATCGTTCTGTGTTTCTACTGGTCAAAGTGACGGCTGTGATGGGAGAATTGGATCTCAGTGAAGGGCAAGTGGTCCATAACTTTAATTGTGGAGACAAAAAAATGTAGGCTTAGCGCCCTGTGGTCCATTGCCCAATAGTACTTTAAAAGTACTTTAAAAGTGCTTCTCAGGGAGTAACATTGGAAGTATTTTAAAAGTACTTGAGTTATTTTACTCAGGGAGTAACGCAGTATAGTAACTGGTTACTTTTTTAAAAAGTAACGCAGTAAAGTACTTTGATTACTTTTAAAGTAACCATTACCCAACACTGGTTTGTACACAAAGCCGTCTGATTCCACACAGACATTGGGATTTATGTGCTTTTTTTCCTCAGTCGGTGTCCATGTATTCGTGTGTGTGTGTGTGTGTGTGTGTGTTTTCATGCTAGAGTGGGCAGTAACAGCTGATTGGGCAGATGGCTTGTGTCGTCATGGGGAGGAGGGCGGCAAGGTGTGTGATGGGTGGGAGCAGGCCTGTTTAATTACTTGTCATGTGAGCAGCCCAGCTAGGCGCTAAAGAGCTTTCATGTGCCCCGAGGGGTGATGTGAGGTGTGGTTGGGGTGCAGAGAGGTCCGGTGACTCCTTAGTCTTACATGACCAGGCCAGTTGAGCAGGTGCTGCAGCTCACTGTCTGTGGGCTCATGTTTACACTACACTGTATCAGAATGATTTTTTTGTACCACAAATCTGGCACGCTGCACAAACCAGTTTTTTTGTATAGGAAATGCATGTTCCCATACTGTAGTAGCTTTTCTTTTAATTTATGGAAAAAAGCAAACTTTGGAATGCACACACTATTTTTGTTGGCAGTCTTGTAAGAGTACATTCAAAATCACAGCGAGGTGAGCAGGGCTGTGGTGTTCATTATCAAGCTTCAAGCTGTTGGAAACCAAAGTGGGACTCACTCAGTGTCTGTGTGATTGCTTTCCATATCAATCCCTGCTTTAGCTAATATGACTTTAATAACGTTGTCTTATTCCTCTGTCCCTGTCTCTTATTTTCCCCAGTATGTGCTGGTACAGAGAACAAGCTGAGCACCCTGTCGGACCTGGAACAGCAGTACCGCACTCTGAGGAAATACTACGAGAACTGTGAAGTCGTAATGGGCAATCTCGAGATCACAAGCATCGACCGCAGTCGGGACCTGACCTTCCTCAGAGTAAGGACTAGACAAAATGATACAGTAAACTGGTTGTGAAATGTAATTCAATTCTTAACTTGAAACTTACCAGAGATAGGTCAATATGCTTGATTCATGTAAAAAACTTGTGAGTGACATGTTGCCAGACAATCAACATGTAACTTGACCCAGATGTCACTGACAGTCTCAGCTTGCACGAAAAGCAAGAAATGCAAAATCATTTCAAGTAGACAGAAGTTTGAAAGGTGCTAGCCCTGTTACATTTCTGAGTGTAAGATATATATCAATATAAATTATGGTAATTACAGTACTTTCTAGAATACGTCTAGATTTCAGTGCATAAGAATAACTCTCCAAACATCCACCTCTTCCATTATTTGTACAAGCAGTTGTCTAAATCTGAGTTAAAAACTTCAGAATGTGAACTTTTTCAGTACTCCTTTCTCATTTGACCTTGTCGCTGAGAGAATGCCCCTGTGCAGACCCCTTCCAACCAATCAGCACTCAGATTAGTGTCTACATATCCAATGATAAGCGGCGAGGAATGTTGCTTTAATCGGGGGTAATCAGACTTCCTCTCCTCTCAGAGTGTCTAAGTGATTGTGCGCTTGCGCCATTGTGATCTGAGGCATAGAATAATCAAAATCCAAATAACTTGATCTGGCTAATCTCCTTTTTGATTAAGTGATTCATAGACAGGGAAGGAGAAGTGCTGTTGCGCTGAACATGAATCCCTATCTTTCCGAACACATCCGGAAAATGTTAAGATATTTAGGAGATTTTTTTTTTTCTCTTTTTAAATCCTCTTATTTTGCGACTGATTATGTGAGACAAGTAATTCACACTGTCAAGGAGAGGGTCAGGTGTGACATGGAGTAACATTATTTCAGCAGTATCCATAGGCAGCAGTGAGATGTGGTAAATGAAAGAGTGGAGGCTAAGGTGAATGTTGTTCTCTGATGCTAATGAGGTACATGTTGTTTGGATGAGGGAGCTGAGGTGCAGTGCTGGACCTAGCATGTTTGGTGCCCTAGGCAAGCTTGCCCCACCCCTCACCACAAATATCATATGATACATTACAATACAACATGGTGAAATTACGTACAAAAGAACATCACACACAAATGAAATTACACAAACAGCACATACCCACAAAAAGCACACCAAACAGTCGTGCCTAGGAACACATCACAAAGGGGGTCAGATGGGGGGCGGGGAGGGGGCAATATTGGCACCTCCGCCTCTGGGTTGCTGCATATGTCGCCTACAGGCAGATCTGAGGCAGACTTGCTTACTCCTATTCTGTTTTGATGGACACATGCATACATATACAAATGCAGTAGTGGGAGAAGGCCGCAGTCCTTCAGGGGCCAGAGCGGTAATAGCGTGGTAATGAGAGGTCAGAGGGAGGCAGGAGAAGTTACGGTTACTGGAAAAAAGAAGAAAAAAAACTGCATGTTTTTTTGGTAAAGTCAGCTGCTGCTGTTGACCTTTGTTGGCCTCCCACTTCTCAAGAACATCACCCTCGACCATTCTGGCAGCACTCTGCACTGCTAACGCCATCCAACTCCAATTGATTCCAGTTTATCTGGGGGTCTGGGGAGCTCCCCTGGTGTTACGCTAAAGTGCTGACTGCATTCATGGGTTGGTATTGCTGTGCGAATGAACTGGGCTCCAGAGGCTTTGCAGAGAAGGCAATCCCCCCAACGAGGCAAGCTGTGCTTTTTTTTTTTTTTTTTCTTTATTTTAATATTTTGCTCCTTACAGTGATGATTTGAAGTTAATGTGGCGAAATGGTTTGTTTACATCAGGTAAAATTAATGTTGTAGCTTATTTTCTCTCGGGTATTTAGTTTGTATGGGCAACAAAAATCAAGACTGATCAAAGCAGCAAATCAAAGACAGAGTCATTAAGTGTTCGGCATTGTGCAGAGCAATACTGACAACACCCCCCGCGATGCAAAACAAAACCAAGATGATATTAAGAAAGAGACAGCAATGGATGGCAAAGTGCTACTATTAGACCCCTGCAGAGGTAATAGGCCCCACTGACTCGGATGAAAAAATATCGTGAGGGGGGGAAGGGATGCAGTTCACAACCAAGTGTGATTGCTGTTTAACTACACAGAACCAATTTGTATTTCAAAACAACATTCACACCCCCACCTTTTACATCTACACAAGTCACTATTACATACAGCCAAGTCTTCGCAGGTCGAGGTTAAAGGTGCTTTTGACTACAATCCCCTTTTTACCTGCCCACTACTACATTACACCACCACTCATTTACAAAACAACTCCCTGTGGCACCAACTTGCCAGGTTCCTCCACCTTTCCACGCTTGGCAATTAACATGGGTTAATTGAAGATGCTAATTAGGAATGCAGGGTGCCAAACAGCAGGGGAGCAAGAGGGCAGGGTGCAGTGTGTATTTTTAGAGAATATTATTATTATTATGATAAAACACATTAATAACATGGTTCCCCAGGGAGGGAAGAACTTCACCTTGAGGTAGAGAAGAAGGGAAGGAGTGAAGAAGTAGAAAAAAAAAAAACTATTGTGCAGCAGCTTACCATACCACCTGTCTCTGGGAGGTGATTGAAACTGATGCCTGTGCATTGGCTCTTTCTTTTCAAGATAGCCAAGAGATTGATGGCTGCCTCCCAAAGCCCCTCAAACAGCTTTAGCAGTAAATAGAGTCCATCTTCCAAACTGCCTCCACGACAGATGAATCAACGCTCGCACTGTGATTAATAACTGCATTTCAGCACTGAGGCTTTCTCCCCACTCCCCCCCATTATGCACATTCAAACCAACAGCACGACAGTGAGCTTTAACCACACGCAGTGCTTACATCGTCAGCGTTTAAATCACTCCCAGATCCATATTCTCATTCCTTTTGAATCTGTCCCTCGTATCGTGAGCAGAGCGTACATTTGCATACTGAGTGCATGCACATTAAGAGATTGAAATGACAAGTTGCGGCCAGCACAACATGTGACGTTTTCTCTTTTGTGAATGGCACGCAGAGGAAGGCAAACACACACTTTGGCGTCTTCTCTTTTCCCTCATGTCACTTCCACGCGTGCGCTCATAAACTGATCTGTGATTATGAAATATTAATTTTTCCCTCTCTTCCCCTCTTACCAGTCCCAGTAGGAACCCACAGTCACACAGTCGGATTGTTTGTCTTGCCATTGCAACCATTAGTAAACATGTCATTTTCCTCCCAATATTAATGCAGTGATCAGATTGTTTAGCAGCCCAGCGCCGATTCGCTGACTCCCCTCCTCGTGCTGCTAATAAATTATGGAATTATCATTTACAAATGGAAACATTTTGATTTCCAACAGGCCTTGTGTTATTAGTGTCTGACAAGAGTAGAGAAAATGTAAATGAAGCTTGGACAACAAACATTGTATATTCACATGAATACCTCCATTACAACCTCCTTCTTTTCTTTCCATTAATCACGTTCATCCACTTGCTTTCTTCTTCTTTTTTTTAATCTTCCTCTACAAGGTGATGAGCTAGAATAAACTATTACTAGTCCATACCCATTGAGTGCACAGTTGCTCACGTACAGTTTCACATGGTATGTGTTTGGGATACAGGTCATAGGAAATTGCAGAATAAATAGTCAACTGAACCCATTAAGAAGAGCAATGTATTCAGACAGAGTTTTTGTGGATTTGATAGTATGATTGCTTTATTGAAAGTACAGTAGTACCACTGCCAATAGTGGGATAGTTAGTGGGCTAAAACTGTACATTAGTAGTTGAGGTAGAGTGTTTATATGTTGTATTGACTGAGGTGCGGCTAGCCCTTGTTGCAGTGGTGGGGGTTGGAATCCGGCCTTTGTTCTTTGCTGCAAGTCTTCCTTGCTCTCTCTCTCCCATCTATCCTGTCATGCTTCACTGTCCTGTCAAATATAGCCAAAAAAGCCCCCAACTTTACATTAGTAGTTGAGGTAGCACGCTGAAAGGCAGATAGTTAAAGTCATTGCCTTATAGAAGCTCAGTTTTAGTAAGTTTTCCAACTTTTGCCAAGAGGGAACTTTAGATATTGGTCCCTAGATTATGTTCACAGAGTTTCATGCAGATCGGTCAAACTTCATAGGAAGAGATCGATTTTAAGTGTTTTCAAAAAATTCAAAATGGTGGAAAATCTATATCACCGGAAGTTATGGGTTCTGAGGCAAATTTGTTCCTCATGAGCAGAGGCATCTCTGTGCAAAGTTTCATGTCTCTACGATATACGGGGCATGAGATATGCCCATTCAAAGTTTGCAATTTCAATCGGTTGCTATAGCGCCCCCCTTCAGCCAATTGATGTAATATTGCTTCATTCGCATCCTCCCATGACCCTCTACCACTGTGCCAAATTTCACATGGATTGACCAAGTCAGTGAGGAGAAAAACATGGAACAGACACACACACACACAGACAGAGTTTTCGTCATTATATAGTAAGATAGATATAATATAATATATATAATGTGGTCCAAAACAGCACAACCACAAACGCGGTTGGCTTCGTGATCATGTTCATCTTTCTTTCCTGCATATGGCTGTCTCATGCCATAACACCTATGTGCTAAAGGAAGCTTCTAGGCAATGACGATGATGGTCTGTTAATGTGGCCTTCACACTTGTGTGAAGTGTTCACTTGACCCAACGCTTGTCTGTCACAGTGATGCATACCAGATGGAAAACGCTGTGAGTGCATTAGTAAGCAGGCATAACGCAAACTAAAGGGTTACTTGAGATTAAAGATGTCTGCTTACTTCAGTTAGTGTTTTTTTTAACAAGGTTATCAACATAATAAAAAATACATTCATTTAATTTTATTCATTATTTTTCTATGGGATGGGAAAGAGTAGCTCGGATAGAGGGATGCAGCAGAAGTGACCTCTCTCTATGTTCCTTCAGTCCAACGTGTCTTGACCCTGCTTTGATTTGAAGGGGCCAGTTGGTTAATTGGGATTCGGGGGTAAGAAATTCAAGATGTAACATAATG